ACTTTCTCCCACTACCACCATCACATAGGTATCATGCTCCGAGCTCTTCCCCACCCACCTCCGGGCCAAATCCATCTCCTTAGCATCCGCAGCTAACTGGCTCTTCAACTTTCTCCTGAGCTTCTTCTCTCCCAAGGTAGCGACGCAATACGGTCCCTACATCATGCTGGTCTTTGCCGGGTGCTTGACATTCGCCGCCATCTTCGTCTTTTTCGCCCTGCCGGAACTCAAGGGTCTTAGCTTGGAAGCGGTCGACGAATTGTTTACGGAACACCCTCGCATGCCTCCCTGGAAATCCAGCAACTGGCAACCTACGAGGGGAGAAAAGGGGCGGGAAACACTGGTTGGTCTTAGCTTTTTGCCGTTCGGAAACAAGAAGAGCAAGCACGAGGCTTGATTGGCGGTAGCACGCGCGTTTCGCGCGTCGCGTCGCGCCGGGCAAGGGCGAAGCGGCCGTGCGACGGATTGCCATTGCATCCCCCCTCTGGAGAGCGCTGCGCTGTCTCTATCGGCTTGAAGACTCCAGCGTGGGCGAATTTGCTGTGCTGTCCCCACCTCACCCTGCTTGCTCGTTTCATCTCTCGAAAATCTCCCCAAAGTTTCGAAACATTTACGCCTCACGCATGTACTCAGTATTCCCCGTTCTTCTCTCTCTTCCTCGTGTGACGCGACGATCCGACTCGAGTATCAATGATGAAAGTCTATGGTACTTTTTCTTTTGTTCGTGTGAGTTTCAACAGCACGAGGTGACGATGACTAGGAAAGAATTGCAAATCGCTCTGGGCGATCGATTTGCTTGGCGGGATACGGGCGTGTGGCCAATGGTCTTTAAGTTGGGCTAACCGTCATGCGGTGGTGGAAAGAGCAGGCGAGTGTGGGAAGAGCGGTGTGCAACAAAGGAATCATCGCTGGAAAGAAGAAAGGCGCAAGGTACCTGTTCCTGACTTGCACTCGGGTCTTCTGACTCATCGGCTGTCAGCGCTATCGCGAGTCTTCTTGTGTGCGTGCCTTGAAACCAACAGCTATTTTCATCTGCTTGCACCTGCTTGCTTGCTCTACTGGCGCTTTGAAGGCAGGAAACTCAAATTGAGCACCTGTAGTAGACCTTGCACATGTGTACACTGTGAGCTCCCTTGGTGCGTACAGCTCGAGGCAAGCTCAAGAGGCACCTCATCTGATTCTACTCGCATTGCGCTTCTGACTGTTGTGATTTCTTCAACGCTGCAGACGCATATTGTCAAATTCCTTGGATGCGCATTGTTCAAAGACTGCTGAGATTTGCAGACAAGCACAGCTTGGCAAGGATGCCATATACATTTACAATGCCTCAGACGCGCATTGTCAAAGCCTGGGGTTGAATTGCCAATGTTTGCATACAAGCACAGCTGGGCAAGGATGCTACTCTCGCTTACTTTTGCCTTCTGCCTCTGTCCAACTGAGAATGCATCACTTGACCTGCCTATGTGCCTTCAGTTGGGCTAGGATTACTCTTGGCCCTTGGTACAATGAAGGGTTGCCAAACATGAGAACATCCCGGTACTTGACAGGCACAGCGCAGCCAGCAACAACCGCAAGCACAAGGCCGCTCAGCACGCACTGCAAGGGACCAGCCAACGGCCTCAGAGTTGGTGACAGTGGAAGCCATGGACCAAGCAGGTGAGGTCATGCATCAATGTAAGATCACAAGGGCTCAAGGGGGAAAGAGTGCGACCACAGAAGACAAGACTACAGCAGCCGGCAGCAAGGGCATGCGGGACGCTCTCAAATGCAAGGGTGTCATCGCTCGACTCACTTTGGGCAAGGAGGCTCCTCCAGAGATCGGCACCACGTTTCCACGACGTCAACAGCCAGAGCATGTGTTGGATCCGGGATACCCTGATGCTAGCGCTGTGCTGGAAGCCATTGCCCATGGTCACGACAATTTCCAGGATCTCGATGCTGAGCCCAATGATGCTGCTTCCCTTTGGGAGGAGGCGAACATCAATGACGGGGAGATGAGGAGCTTGGAGTCCAATGCTGCCTTGCGCCAGGTGCAGATAGCCCGCATGGAGCACTTTGAGCGGTTTTGGGGTGCAGCAGACAGGGAGCGCACCTTGATCAGCTTCATGGTGGACTATGGATTCTGTCCGCTGTGCTCTTTTGGTCCAAAACATACTCCAACAGGCATCTCCAAGAGCCAGCAGCTGAACCAGCCTTTGGTCCACTTGGAGACGTACCACTAGAACATCGTGGTCGCCATTTGGACAGGCCAGGCGGTGAACCCTGGGGTGTTTCAAAGCCCCTTGCTTCCTGGCTGGCGACAGCATCCAATCTTCCAGAGGCACAGCAACATTGAAGAGCAATTCTTCTTTCCAGCCATCTCCTTGAGCATCTGGATGGACCCAGCCATGGAACTGATCACAGATTGGGCGTTCAGTGCACTTCGATTGATCTTCAAGGCAGACAATGTCCAAAAGATTGAGTGGATCGCTTCAATCCTGGAGCAGATGTCCAAGTCTTTGGGCTTGGTCTATAACCTTCTGAAGGCTGGACAGGGAAACTTGGCCAGGTGTCAGGATATCACTTGGTCCAGTGAGCACGCTACAGCATCTCTCAGCTCTCACTGACCAAAGCTCAAACCCAGTATTGCCATCCACACCAAACGCATCATTGCGCCATTTGCACTCCGCAAAGCCACCCGCATTTACTCGTTCCATGTCAACTACCCCCCGCATATGGTGGACAAACGCGAGAAGGCTTGCATCTATGCGCAACAGACTTGAACACCTTCTGACGCAACTCTTTGCTTTCTTTCTCATTTGTCTCAGTGCCAATTGCAAGCAGCCAGTTGCTCCTCTTCAAAATGCCAAGTGCCTGGTCCAGCGCAAGGCTCTGTTCAAGAAGCTCCTTGAGGAGGAGCGTAAGGAGGAAGCCAAGCGCCAAAAGGCAATTCAAAAGGTCACCAAGGACCTTGCTTCCTCTGTGAGTGCCTTTGAATAAGTAGCGATGATCTCAATTGCCCATGTGACTGACCATATATGACCATCTGTCCGTTTTTGATTTGTTTCCCTGTTGTTCTCAGTTGTCTCTTTGACTGACCATCATCTCTGCTTTGAATGTCCAACCTTCTGACCGCCTGCTCAAGGGCCACAATGACAACAATGCTGAGGAGGAGGATGACAATGACAATGACAATGACAATGACGATGACAATGACGATGCTGCTGCTGCTGCTGCTGTGCCTCACTCATTCACATTGCAGCGCTAACTTCAGGTCCCC